GAGGGGACCGGCTGGTTGATGGCCACCTGTGCAGATAGTAGGTTGTGACCACCTCGTTGGACTTGTTAGGATCTTGTGCACTAGGCTTTGTGGAGTTTGTTTGGTTTCTTTAGTTTATCTATAGGTCTGGCAGGAGGAGGTATGGCACCACGGGTGGGAGATAGGCCCCACTGACTGTTTTGGTCTGTTACTACCTCTATGTATTTCCTATGTTTGTGATGTTTTTATTTGGGGAACAGGCAGCGAGTACAGGTCCTCCTCACCGGTATGCTCTTCGGAGGCAACCAGCAAAGTGGGTTCATAGAGTTGATGGCCTGGCATGCGTGTGCGAGATGTAGACATGTTAGTTGCCTCCTCCTGGCCATTGTGCTGCCTGTAGGTTTAATTTGTGTATTTTGTTGGTTTTCTACTATGGAGGGGGTTTTGCGGGATGATTTTCAGACCGGGTGGTAGTGATTTTATGTTTGTTGGATGAGAAACCTGGTCGGGTTGGTCTTTTGCTCGGCTTCAGCTATGCTTAGTGCTGGTTGGCTTCATACCAGAGGGGCTACAGACTTGGACCAGGGTGGGTGCTGAGTTGTTTGATGGTCTTGTAATTAGTTCTCATGCAGGCATGACTTGTGGATGGCAAGTGCGGGGCCGTAGACTTAGTTAGTTTAGGATTAGTGGTATACCGGTTAGCAGTATCTTTGTGCCGTTGGGGGCTTATCGTATGCCAGTGTTGGCGATACGAGTTTGAATAAAATTGGATTAAATTCTAAGTACTTTTCCTACTTACTACTTTAATGAATATAAAACACCTTTACGATCTTTATCTTTATTGCAACGTTATCATTATGCCAGGAAGAGCTCTTCATGAAGATGAGTCAGAGAAATCTTACCATAGGTGTTCCCGAGAGAAGACAAAGATCTTGTGCTATCGGTAACATAGGCAGAGGCCCAGTGCTATCATAAGACTAAGGAAAGAAACAGAAGAAGAGAAGTATTGTTCCCCATCGCCAAGAACTAACTATCCAAGGAGGGATTGTTACAAATAATTAATAGTTTTACATGAGGATTATCTTCAGCAAATACTATTAACTGTATAGTTACCAGCATCTTACCCCATTCTGACTTCTTACTCTGAACTCAAACAGTTTTTTATA